TGATTCATGAGCCATTTTTCTCACTACCTGTTGTCGCTGCACCGACAGTGTAAGACACTATGGTGCCAGCACCTGTTGTTATTCCGCCTGTGGCAATAATGAATGACGATGAGGAACCTGTTCTTCAGGATCCTATAGAATCTATTGCCACACATGAGGGGGAGCAACAACAGCCTCAAACAGAAGATGTGCCAAATGTGAAGGCCCCTAGAAGGTCTCAAAGAGTTAAAAAATCAGCTATTTCTGCTAACTATAAAGTATACAACACTAAAGAATTTTGAATGGAGGATGATCCTACCTCGTTTGAAGAAGCCATGAAAAATGATCATTCATCAAAGTGGCTTGAGGCCATGGAAGATGAAATAAAATCTATGAATGCCAATAAAGTTTGAGACTTAAAAATAATTCCTAAAGGAGCCAAAACAGTAGGCTGTAAATGGGTCTATAAAACCAAACTTGACTCTCAAGGGAATATAGAGAGATATAAAGCACGACTTGTGGCAAAAAACTTTACGCAAAGAGAAGAGATTGATTATAATGAGACCTTTTTTCCAGTCTCATGTAAGGATTCCTTCAGAATCATAATGTCATTAGTGGCACATTACGATTTAGAATTACATCAGATGGATGTAAAGACGGCATTTCTCAACGGGGACTTGAGGAAAATGTTTACAAGGCACAACCGAAAGATTTTGTCATGGAAGGAAAAGAACGAATTGGATGCCGCCTAAAGAAATCCATTTATGGATTAAAACAAGCTTCAAGATAGTGGTACTTGAAGTTTGATCAGACAATAAGGAATTCTAGGTTTAAAGAGAATGTTGAGGACAATTGTGTCTATGTAAAGCTTAAGAATAAGAAGTTTATCTTCCTTGTCCTGTATGTGGATGATATCTTACTTGCTAGTAGTGATGTCAGTCTATTATTGGAGACAAAGAAGTTTTTGTCCTCAAAATTTGATATGAAATATCTAGGTGAAGCTTCATTCGTTCTAGGGATCAAGATTCACCGAGATAGAAGTAAAGGAGTATTAGCACTGTCACAAAAGGCATACATAGAAAAGATCTTAAAGAAATTTAGTATGCACAAATGTAGTCTCTCACCTGCTCCTATAGTCAAGGACGATAGATATGAGGATTTTTAATGCTCCAGGAACCAATATGAGATCGATCACATGAAAGCGGTTCCATATGCTTCAGCTGTCGAAAGCTTGCAATATGCTCAAGTATGTACGCGCCCTGACTTGGCATTTGTTACTGGGTTACTTGGCAAATTGCAGAGCAATCCTGAAACAGAACACTAGAAATTAGTAAAGAAAGTCTTGTGTTATTTGCAAGGAACGAAAAGCCTCATGATGACGTATAGAAGATCATATTCACTCCATATAGTGGGATATTCAGATTTTGATTATGCGAGAGATGATAGAAAATCCACGTCTGGATATGTATTCACTCTCGCATGGGGAGTTATTTCATGGAAAAACTCAAAGCAAACTGTCACTACATCGTCCACAATGTATGCCGAGTTTGTAGCGTGTTATGAGGCAACGGGGCAGGTGAACTGGCTAAAGAAGTTCATACCCGGTTTGAAGGTGATTGACGACATCTATAGACCACTTAAGTTATACTGCGATAATAATCTGGCAGTACAGTATGCTCACAACAATAAGTCAAGTGGTGCTGTCAAACACATTGACATAAAGTATTATGTTGTGAAAGATAAAGTCTGGGATCATGTCATAAGTCTTAAGCATATAAGTACCGAAAAGATGCTCGCGGATCCGCTTACAAAAGGCTTACCACCCAACATGTTTAGAGAACATGTAGCCGGCATGGGTTTAAGGAAAAGCCTATAATTCCTAGATAAAAGAAGGCCTAAAGTTAAGTATCTATTTCAGAACAGAGTGGTGTGTTGTAGCTGTTAAATCTATCGCCAATTGACCGTGACGATAAAACATACTCTATGCGCTAATCTGTAATGAAATGAACAAAAGTAAATGATATGAAATTGAAAGATGATAGGAGATCAAGGGGGAGATTGTTAGAATAATCTCTAATCCTAAACTGGGTCCAACGGCCCAGTTGGGCCTTTGATCCGCGCCCTGATCAGGGGCACCCAGTCCACTATGGCTGGAGGGCTCCTGTCACACTGCGCAATAAATAGAGGTGGGGGCCGGTGGCTCTAAGCACGAGGTTCGCCTGAGCTGAGCTCCCCACCGAAACCTAAACCCTAATCCGATCTAGAGGGGCGCAGCCAGTGACGGAAAGCCACCAGCCGCGCCGTCCCGCTCCACCGACATCGACGGCTTCATCGACCTCTTCCCCAAACGTCGCTGCCCGTGCGCAGACTTCACCGACGAACGAGATGGCCGACGCCTATGGACCATCACCCTCTGTGGTGTCAGGTTTGATACGTCCATCTTCTACCCCTCTCTTTCTTTCATTCTATCTACTGTTATTGCACTAGTAGATGTTCTAGAGTTCATAATTATATTCAACAGCCAGTAGACATGCTAGTTCTATGCCTAGATATCGTATTCTAGGTCTAACACCTGTCACTATAGCCATGGACGCACAACACTCGGATCCGATTAGCTAGCAGCCACCTCCTCCAGCTCCATCATTGCTTCGTTCCTAATTCAGCTTGGAAAGAACATACAACCATGATAGATATGATTTAGGTGAGATTCATTATACCATCCTACTAATCTATACACATGCACTGTCACGCACCAACACATCTTTGATTACTACTAGTAGTATCTAATGTTTTATTACATATATGTAACCATCTATCATTTTTATTATTATTACTAAAATATAATACTGAAAGAATGAGGGGTTATTAAGGGCTTTAGGTAACTAGGCTTTAGATTATAACTAACTGTTTCGGTCGTCCATCGAATTCCAATGATGATATCTCATTTCCAGGTACATTAGTATGCTGCTGATTGAGTTGAGCTAGCTATTATTGATATCCAGGAATCCAGCTGGTGCACTACTTGTGCTAGGTTTCCTTAATCTACTATTAATTAGACATACAAGTTGAGCTGGGCTAGACAGCAATCTAGCTATAATACAATCCGCACATCCTCCCTTTTTTTTTGTAAAGGAGAGAATGTAACAACAGCTTATATAAGAGGGAGGCCTTACTGAAACTTTTGTGGCTTCATCAGGTAGAGGAGAATAGGCGCAGTACCGTGGTGGAAAAAGGTGGCGATCGATCAGTGTCACAGGTGGTGGTACCGGCCGTGCATGGTTTATCTCTATAGCCAAAGGGCCTCTAGTCCAAAGCGTCCTGGCAGCACTCCTTGATCCTGGGTTCGACTTCCCAGAGTACCCCAGATTCTCTGGCAGGTAGTGAATTTTAGATTGAGGTTAAAAATCATCTCGGAATCTCTCCACGCCAAATATATCATACGGAGTCTATATACTGATGATCATTTCCCGTGCAGTGCAGTGCAATCTGGTCCTGCTCCTGCAAGCAAGAAAGATAGGTATATTCAGTTGAACGAAGTAGGACACTGGGTTCCCAGGTTTTCGTCCTATTCCATATATGCGTGGTCTATAAAGAATCTTTTTGTGAGCTTAATGCAATGCCTGAGGTGGTCATTCCTTACGGGTCTTTTTTTTGTTTATCTTTATCCTAAGTTAATGATATGATTGCTGATTCTCACAAGAAAAGGCAACCCCAACCGGGCCCTCACCACACCAGCTTAAATTATTCCATCTCCACGGGTTAGTGTACGTGTGGTTGTGCATGACTTTGCTCTTCAGAATCCAGAGTACCCCAGATTCTCTGGCAGGTACACACATATCATGAATTCATGATTCATTAACTAGCTGGTTGACAGCCGAAAGTTCATGCTTGGAATCTCTCACCTAGCTGTATGTATCATACGGAGTATATATACTGATGATCATTTCCCCGTGCAGTGCAGTGCAATCTGGTCCTGCTCCTGCAAGCAAGAAAGATAGGTATATCAGTTGAACGAAGCCTGAAACTGCACGCAGCAACGGGCCCAGCTCGTTCGTCCTATTCTATATATGCGTGGTCTATAAAGAATCTTGTAGCTGTGAGCTGTTGGGGACGATGGATGGATGGTCATGGATGCCATAGCAAGGCAGCAACCTGGAACAACAAGGTGGCGGCTGTCCTGTCCTTTATTTATCTGACCCCATGCATGGTTGGCAGCGGTTGAGTCCAGTCGCCATGGCCGCGCGCATGACGAGCATCCAACACCAAAATAAGTCATCAGAGAACATTTCGCACGATCGACGACCGGACTTAATTTGGCCATTTTATACACACACCAATGCAAATTCGTGTGAAATCAAAAGGACTCGTCGGATTATATATATATATATATGCTGAACATTTAATTTCATTGACTCTGCAGCTAAAAGTCACCACAACGTACTGTTGCTCGGCTGCTCCTAGCAGACCTACCACAGAGTGCACCTTGAATGGATCCAAGTATCTCGATGATGTATATGCTGATGCAAACCGGGCCCCACCACCTATCTCACTCACATCGATCGATCGCCAGCCTGGAACAGGCCATCAATCCATCCATTCATACATGTATCACTACTTCCCTTGTTTATTAAGCCACCTTGCTAGATAGTTAGTTAAACAAACACTACTGCTTAGTTGGTAATGATATAATAAAAGATATGCTTTGTTGTTCTTGCTTAGAAAACCTAGTATACTTTGTTGCTCTCTTTACATATATGATATACCCTGAGCTGGCTAGAAAGCCACCTTTATTTGCTTGACTTCCTCTATATATCGACCAGACGACCACCTAGCAGCAGCTAACTGTTTGAGCCATCCCCCTCCTCGTGCCAGACTGCCCAGCCACCACACCATTCTTTCCCTAGCTCTCTAAGCTAGCGTACGTCGTGTCTTAGGAGTAGCTTGCAGGCTCACCTGCTGCTGATTGAGAGGAGACCCATCTGAATCTGACTGAATTCAGCACCACCAGCTAGCAGAGATAGATGGCGGCGGAGGAGGCCAAGAAGGTGGACGTGGAGGCCACCAAGGACATCGCCGAGGAGAAGGCCGTCGTGCCGCTGCCGTCCCCGCCCACGGCCGCCGCCAAGCTGGCCGACGACGACTCCAAGGCCATCGTCGCTGTTGTCAAGGGTACGAACGTAACTAGCTACAGTACCATCCTTGTTCGTTCCTTCTCGTTCATCCCGACCACACGATTTCTGTTATGTCTTCTGCTTTGCACTAGCTGCTAGTAGAATTTCTTTTTCTACAAAAAAAAAAAGGTAGGAGCTTTGTTGGAAATCTCCCCAAACCAAACTTTACAAAGATCATGCAGGGAGCAATTTTTACTTGACCATTCTTCGTCTAGCCGACCGACTAGGTTGTAGAGAGGGGAATTTCAGAAAAGCAGATCGGTTAGTTTGGCTGTTTCGGGACAAGTTCCCTTTATTTCCACTGTACTGTTTTTGAAGTAAAAATTAGACAAACTAAATAAGAAGTTAACATGATTGTTGCTGCATATGCTCGTAAATTTTAATTTCTCTGGCAACATGGATTAGTTTTCTTCACAAACTTCAAAACAAAATAATTCAAATTAATGTGATGCCTAGAGGATCGGAGGTAGAAGGAGAAGAAACAACAACAACCGAACACTGAAGCACTGACAACCAAATAAGACTTTTCTTCTGAAAATTCTGACATGTCTACTCTTTTTGCCAGACGCTGCTGAGAAACCTGCAACTATTGGAGGTTCAACTGAAAGAGGTAACCAACGAAAAAAAGGATGCTCATCAAAATTCTCAGTCTAACAAACAAAAACAAGAATTCTAGCTCGTTCAAACTCATTGCACTCATCTCAGTCCATTCCCTTCTTCTTCAGATGCTTATCTCGCGAAGATTGTATCCGAGAAGAGACTGACTCTGATCACCGCCTGGGAGGAGAGCGAGAAAGCGAGAGCCGAGAACAGGTAAAAGGTCTCTCTGAGCTATATTTAATTGGGAGTTGCTTAAAAGTAAGTATCGAGCTATATATGTTTAACTGTCAGTTGCTTAAATAAAAGCAATAAAAATGGATTAAATCACCAGTGATGCGTGCTACACTGCTACTGGAACGGGCACATCACTCGGGTTCGTTTTGATGGGTGAGAGATACCATCACACTATATCTTACGATGCACTCAAAGCACGATGAAAGGAAAGCGCACCTTTCGATCGTCTCTGCTGCATGCAGCCAGGCTGCAGCAATGCAACTGACCTCTCAACCACACCAACAGCATCAGCTCGTACTTTGTGTCTGCAACTAACTCACTTGCTGCGTTTGCCTGCAATGCAATGGTCAATGACAAACAGGGCCGCCAAGAAGCTCGCCTTCATCACGTCGTGGGAGAACGCGAAGAAAGCGGAGATGGAGGCGGAGCTGAAAAAGATCGAGGTGAGCTGAAAAGAGAGAGGTGGACGATGACAAGTCACCTATTAGCTAGTATTGCTGCAGCCTGCAGGTGCAGCAGAGTTTGTTATAGTGGAAAGCAGAGTCGTTAGTTAGTAACTGACGACGACGTGCATGGCAATTGGCAGGAGCAACTGGAGAAGAAGAAGGCGGCGTACGAGGAGAAGCTAAAGAACAAGCTGGCGATGCTGCACAAGGCGGCGGAGGAGAGGCGGGCGGAGACGGAGGCGAAGCGCGGCGAGGAGATCATCCTGGCGGAGGAGATGGCCGCCAAGTACCGCGCCAAGGGCGAGGCCCCCACCAAGCTCTTCGGCCTCTTGAAAGCCTGAAGAAATGACGATGTGATACGTATGCTGGGAACAACTGTTGATTGTAGATGTGGTGGAATGCGTGTTTGTGGCGGTGTGTGCATTCATATGTATGTATCTGAAATGCCCTTGATGTGTGTGTGTGTTGTTGTTGTTGTTTTCTGTTGTATCGGAACTTGGAAGGCTTGCTTGACATCTGGTGGTGCAGTATGTAAAGGAATTGTGTATAATTAAGCATAGGAGGAGTGCAGTGCAGTGGAGACTGGAGATGGATACCTTTTGTTCTTTGTTCTCAATTCTCATGATGGAATTTTTGTCAGTTCAGAAACTGTTTTTTTAATACTAGTTCAGAAACTGGTTATTGCGTTTGGCAACTGGCAGATAAATGTAGTCGTCTACTGCATTTTCTTTGTCTGATGGAAAGACACCACAAGAATGCCAATGTCGTGTCTGAAGACTTGATGCACTGATTCTGCGAATTGGGATCCTGTATTTTCATCAGCCGTCCTGTTTCTTGCTCCTAATCTTCAACTGCACTACGGAAACATTCAGAGAAGAACTTTCTTTTTTCTTTTGAAACGGTCGCCAGCAGATCTACCGAACTTGTACTGATGTAAGAGGGATCAAAAGGCACTGTGCAAAGGAGGACTCGAGTAAAAAGGGAAAAACAACAACAAAAGGCATTTAGAGAAAAACTTGCTGAAACATAAGTACGCGTGCTCACTGAGCATCTATCAGCTATCACCAGCTAGCCTGCAGAGAAACAGTGAGAAAACACTGATGGCGGACCAAATCAACAATTCCATCAGGCCTGATCTGAAAGCAAGAGGGAGGCAAACCTAGGGAAGGAAAGCCCCCTACGGAGAAGTGGAGAACTAAATGACATATTCAAATGATATCCCCATACATTGCTCACTCTGGGGAAAATTCGATCCCAAAACAATGAGTTTTTCGAGGCCAGCGGCCTGATAATTTGATGCATTCCATCATCTGCAGACTGCAGTTCATCGTTTCAAAAAAAAAATCATCTGCAGTTGAGCACTCCCAAGAAGCCAAGATGCTTCAGTGTACAGCCTGAACTTGCTGCACTTGCATAGCTCTGAATGCGCAGCTCAACAACTGAACTGAAGTACGCTTCTGCCACGTGAAGGCGTACTTCTTCTCCATCGAAGCGGGCAAGCTGCGTATTACCCACCTACCGGGATCACACATGCCGCCGCCCGCCACTCAATCCGGTAAGAAAAATAAACAGGCCCACCAGTCAGCAAGACAGTTGCCACCGCACCAGTTGGAATCTCTGTATGCGCCATTGCGTCGCCCGTGGGGCCCACCACGGCGCCGCCGGCAGCGCCACTAACCCCCACCTCCGCCCTCTCACGGGCACCCGTGCCTGCTCCACCACGCTTATGCGCTCGCCTCCCCCTCTCGCCGCCCACCTCCGGCGCCTGCTCCTCCTCTCGCCCTCCGCCCACCTCATCATCCGTCGCGCCATGGCCTCCACCACCGCCGCCGCGCAGGCGCAGCCAGGTGAGGGACCGAGCCTGCTTGCTTGCTTACAACACCCACGCCCAGTGCCTGCGGGCTATGGCTGACGTTTGGTGAGGTGATGACTGACGGCGGTGCGTGCGTGCGTGCGTGTGTTTGGTTGGGCTTTCTTCACAGGTGGCGTGCCGCCGGCGACCGCGGAGTACGACGAGGTGCTGGGGCGGCTCTCCTCGCTCATCACGCAGAAGGTGCGCGCGCACAGCGGCAACCGCGGCAACCAGTGGGACCTCATGGCGCACTACGTCAAGGTCCGTGGCTCCGTGCATTGAGAATTTATAAGATCTCCTCCTACTGCCAGGGTTCTTCTGAATCGTAATAGGATGGTTGTTTGATTGTTCGATCTGGTTGGTATGAATGGTGGGTAGATTCTGGAGCTGGAGCAGCCGATCGCGCGGATGAAAGTGATTCACGTCGCGGGGACCAAGGGGAAGGTAAACTAACTGGTAGCATCCTCGAGTTAGATGCTGTATCACTTTTAGTTCGATCAGAAAGTTCAAATTTAATATCTGTACTGTAAAACAACAGCTAGGCAATCACGGCTAGGTTGGAATGCAAATGTAAACAATGTGAAGTGTTAAGCTTTACAAAAGTCGCAGTTTAATGCTATTCGTGATTGGTATCAGGATGTGATACAACCATTTCCGTATCTGTAATGGCTAGGATTGAACTGCGACTTTGTACAGTAGTAATAAGAAATGAGAAATGCTGAATTCTTTTAGTGCCCTGACTTGGCGTCAATTGAACAAGGCCTTGATTGTATCTATCTACAGGGTTCCACATGCACATTCACCGAGTCAATCCTGCGATCATGTGGATTCCATACTGGGCTGTTCACCTCACCACATTTGATGGATATTAGGGAGCGATTTCGGCTGGATGGGTAATTCTTTTTCCTACTGTTCTTTTATCTTATATACCTGCATCTGGTTGTGGTGTTGACAACAGTAGATCCTATGAACTTCCAAATGATTTTTTTGTATGCAGATGTGCTGTGTCATCTTTCTTATATTGTCCCTGTAAGTAGGTGTTATGAATTTATGATCGCACTGACCCTAGCTCCTCCTTTCTGACGGCATCAGGGTTAATATTTCTGAAGAGAAATTTTTGAAGTACTTTTGGTGGTGCTGGAACAAGTTGAAGGTAAGTGTCTTGATTACTCGTTTCATATAAAGTCGGTCTGTGCTGGATGCCTAGAGCCTTGAACCGACAAAGCAGAAACCACTGAATTGATTCCATCAGGAACTTTTTGCATTTGTTCTGTAACCTGTCTGTTCTCATCATATTGCTCCTATTCTATATAAACCGGTGGATGATGAGGTAAATGGGCTTACTTCCAGGAGAAGACTGATGATGATATTCCCATGCCAGCCTATTTCAGGTTCCTCGCATTGCTCGCATTCAAGATATTTTCTGCTGAGCAGGTAAAGCAAATACAAGCATTTCCTACTCTTTCTGCCTTCTTTGGATGATATTCAAGATGCTAAAGTCATTTTACATGCATGGCGCCGTGTTAATATGTGATTTTGAGGTAGACACATTCACACATCTATCACATATATGTTCTTCTGACACTAGGAACTTACTGATTCTTCATACCTTTTGAGCTTCGCTGGAATCTGCCCAATCATTTCCCCTGTCTTTTTCTGACTATAACAGGTAGACGTTGCTGTTCTTGAGGTTGGCCTAGGAGGGAAGTTTGACGCAACTAATGTGGTATGTGATGTTCTATTGCAGTAATATATAACCGAAGGTTGTATATAAAACTCATCTTGAGTAGTCAAAACCCAGAGTAAACTTGAACTGTGCCGTTTTAGTCCTGAAAAATATTGCATGCTTATTTTTGTGAGCATCCTTGTATTATATGCAAAAGGATGGACTAGGTCAATTTGTATGCTTGCTTCTTGTCTAAGATTCAGTGTCAACTTGACTTTCAAAATGGTTCTGTGTTTAAATTTACCTTGAGTTTCTTCTGGGCTTTCTGACAGCATTTATATTACCACTGTTATCTTGAACTATCAAAAATCAAAGATCTTGACTGGTCTCTAAATTTGGGTGTCTGCAGGTTAAAGAACCTGTAGTTTGTGGAATATCTTCCCTTGGGTATGATCATATGGAAATTCTTGGTTAGTCATGTAACTGACAGTTGAAGTACCTCTATCATTAGGTTCATGCTTTCAGTCTCATCTTTACTTTGTTGCCTGTGAGCAGGGAATACGCTTGGAGAAATCGCAGGGGAGAAGGCTGGGATTTTCAAGGTTTTGTTTAGTTACTTTCCTATAAAGCTATTCAAATTATATAGCCAATTTTCTTACTTTTCTGGTACTCTTGTGTCAGAAAGGAGTTCCAGCCTATACTGCTCCACAACCAGAAGAGGCAATGACTGGTCTCAAACAAAGAGCTTCGGAGTTGGGTGTATGTCCTATCATCGATTCCATTCTTTCTTTTTTGGTTGCCTCTATTCTAGCCATGACACTTAATGCAACATTGGTTTCTGAAGATCTCTCTCCAAATCGTTGATCCTCTGGAGCCCCATCACTTAAAAGATCAACATCTTGGACTCCATGGCGAACATCAATATATAAATGCTGGCCTTGCAGTTGCTTTGGCTAGTTCGTGGCTTGAGAAGCAGGGACATAAGGACAGGATACCACTCAACCGTACTGTAAGTCCTCTCTATCATGTTGCTTTTCTAAAAAGAAAGATGGTATGACAATTTGTCCTGCTATGATGGAATTCAGGATCCCTTGCCAGATCATTTTATTAGAGGACTAGCAAGCGCTTCTTTGCAAGGCCGAGCACAGATTGTTCCAGATTCACAAGTGAATTCAGAAGAGAAGGACAAAGATTGTTCGCTTGTTTTCTATTTGGATGGAGCGCACAGTCCTGAAAGTATGGAAATATGTGCCAAGTGGTTTTCCCATGCCACAAAGGATGATAGAAGGCTAACATCTTCCGTGGAGCAGTCTCAGACATCTAGCTCTCAAAAGGTATGCCTCACGGCATATCTACTTTTTTTAATGCTTCAACCTGCTTTTGTGTGCATTACATCTTACAGTAGGTTCCTCCCTTATATGAAAATATTATTTTGGAACCTATTTTGCAGATCCTTCTGTTCAATTGCATGTCTGTGAGAGATCCGATGAGACTGCTTCCTCGTCTCCTGGATGCATCAACTCAAAATGGTACCTTAAAAATTTTCATCGTCTCCTGAAAAATATCCCTTGCAATCATTCACCATTAATTCATATGTTGTTTAATTTATTAGCTCAATTTGTTTAACGGGAACCAAATGAATTTACTTCCCACTTGAGTTCTGTACGAAGTTACTGGTTTATTTACTGTTGATTTCACTTTCATGTGCAACTTTTTCCAGTTCTAGGTTAAATGGGTACATTCATTTTGGTCTAATTTTGTCAGGAGTCCACTTTGATCTAGCCCTATTTGTGCCGAACCAATCACAATACAACAAGCTTGGTTCTAATACTTCAGCACCTGCGGAGCCTGAGCAAATAGATTTATCATGGCAGTTGTCGCTCCAAACAGTGTGGGAGAAGTTACTTCAGGATAAAGGTTCTTCTGATATCTGAACCTGATTTCTTTAGCCATTTATGCTGCTTTTCTTAGTATCTTGTATGTTTTTTCTCTCTCCATGAAACAAACATTATCTGGTCTGAATATAATGTAACACTTGCAAGTAAATGGTGCAGGTATAAATACTACAAAATCTAGTGATAGTAGTCAAGTTTTTGAATCGCTTCCACTCGCAATCGAGTGGCTAAGGAGAAATGCCCAAGAAAACCAATCTACTTTTTTCAGGTAAAACCTTTCACTCATGGAAATCTGCACATTGATATTAATCCTAATGTTTGTTGCTCCATGCATTCATAACTAACGTGTGTATACCAAGTCAAGTTTGCCAAGGTTATTGTGTAACCTCTGTTGATCTTTTATCCTCCCTCAGGGTCTTGTTTATTTGCTCAATTTCCTTTATAAAACATAATTCAGGAAACTTTATCTCATTTTTTTCTTTTGTTTTTTTAGCCAAATTTTTTCTTTTGTTTATCTAACTGCCTTCACACTCGATGCTGACACATTTTGATCTGATGATGGGACTGAACTAGGTGTTGGTTACTGGCTCCCTGCACCTCATCGGCGATGTCTTGAGAATAATCAAGAAGTGATACGCCGCTTGAAGTTCAACGGCTTGCTTACGATGCTAACCAAGCTGCGAGCCTCTTGTGTTTTCTGGCTACTGTCGCCTTTCACCCAGGAGACCGTTGTGCCCATTCTTGTAAAGGCGTGAAATAGGATGATCACATGCCATCATAGAACATAACTGAGAATTCGATATGAGACTGGGTCAATCTGTAGACTCACAAAATAAGAGCGCATGGGTTTTCTTGTCCAAATACAGACTCTGTAAAGAAACCAATCATTCTTCTCCAGAGTAAAAAAGAATTTCATGTTGTGATGATGTATCCCTGTTCTTTCTCCCTGACGGAAAACTGGTGGTCCAACAGTGTTGGCGGTCACCTCCGTGTTCAGACTTTAACGGCTGACCTGACTTGAGCATATGCAGGATGCCTGTTAGCATCGCAATGATACGTCCCAACAGTGTTTTCCCTGTACCACATCCGTGGGAAACCTTCTTTTCCAAGCCCAACCACAGTTCTGTCAGGCATGGCATGACACAGTCAGTGTCAGGGGCGACCTCTGATCCCATTCGATTCCGATTGCTATCCGGTGTCCGCACCAGCCAAATTGGTGAGGCAAGAGCGCACGCCTGCCCCGGTGTCTCGTATCGCCTCAGCAATTCAACCGCAGCTGGGTCTCCAAATGGCCGAGCTGGATTACTCTTGTTGTCTGCATCCGCGTATATAAACTCCTATTCCGTTGCCTGCGTGTGATCATGGCACTGTTTGCTTTTCTTATAATTCGTCTTTTTTAGCTTGTTTTTTAACCGGAACTGTGTTTTTCTCTCACAACAAATTCACCGGAACAGTATTTCGGTTTAATTTTTTCAAGCGAAACGAACGGAACCCATGACATCATCCAAATGTATTATAAACAATAAACTACTAGTATAAGCTACAATTAATAAACTACTAGTACGAACTACAGTATCATAGAAATCCCGTCAAGTGATGGCTTTGACTTTGGGCTAGCTAAAGCTAAGCTAGGACACCACCCTCCCTCGACGCATTGCACTTGCACGCTATATAGTACAGCGACTGAGAAACCAACACACCTCTTAACTGTTCAGAGTAGAGAACTGAGAAGACTCTCTTGCCATCTCCAATTTCCTCGGCTTTGCTGAAACCCTGAAACCATGGGATTGCCACGACAAAGCTTCATCAGGTTCATGGTAGTAGTACTCACAGTCTCGCTCCTGGGAGCAGAGCTGAGAGGCCTCTTCTGCCACGGCCGGCGGATTCCGGGCTCCGAGGTGGCCATCATAGCGCACGACGACGTCGAGTCGCCGCCGCCGACGCCGAGGGAAGGTCAAGGCCACTGCTCGCCGTCGTCCTCGTCCAGCAAGCACGTTCGGCAGAGACCTCGCTGGAGGCGCGTGCAGGACCTGTCCGAGTCCAAGAGAACTGTGCCGCAGGGGCCCAACCCGCTGCATAACTGAAGCCTGGGCTCTCAACTCTGAAGAGGAGGGACCTCGGTGCTCCGGCTCACTCAGCGTCTATCTATCTCAGATTCTGAGCTGAGCAACAAGAGAGGATTTTTAATAAGTAGATAGAAGAGTAGAATTGGCTGGCATACATGATACATGTACTGTACACCGACCATGAGTAAAAGCAATACAATAGCGTGATAATTTGTTACCTGTCACGGGCACTTAACGTTCTTTCTGCCAACAAGCGTGCATGATCGACCGACGGTGAGCCAGAGCAGGTGGTTGTGGTCCCATCCATGTCGTCCGCTCGTCTCCTCTGTAGCGAGCCGGGAGGTGGTGGATGGAGACCTGGAACGCCAGCCACGGTGGCTGGCCGGCCGGCCGCCTCCGTCCTCCGATCGTGGGGAGCGTGGTCCACACTCCCGGGCACCCGACCTGCCGGCGGAGCGGCGTGGCCGCGGGAGTGAGCTCACGTGCTATGACACCATCCATGTCCACTGCTAACCGTGACTGTACAGTACAGATGCTCTTGTTGTCTTCATCCGCATAGGCAGAGCTACAAACTCTGCGTTGGGCGTTGACTCCTGGCCGTGATGACGACATGAACCAGTGCTCTTGCGGCTAGCTTTTGCTTCTCCACTCCTCCTAAGCTACTCCTGATCAGTCGTCCCGGTGCACCAAGTCGGTTCGCCGCCAAACAAGTGTTTCATGAACGGCAGCGACGGGACGCGCGAGGACACCGACAGGAAGGGACGGGACGGACGCCCCGGCGCCGAAGCCGAGGCCACCCACAGCATTCGGCCGCTCCTCACTGCTCGCCGCGCGCGCTGTGTGTCCTGACCGGTGGCCACATGGATTGTTGTTGTTGAGACGGCGCCGTCGATTTGGTCCCCGTCGGTCAGCGGCACTTTCGTTGCTTCGTTTCGGCCGCAGAATTATGTTGCTCGTCTGCTCCCTGCGCCTGCGCGCGCCTCACGGTTTCTCTGGACAACGCACGGGGCAGGCACTGCCGCCCGGTCTCTTGGAGGATGACGTTGACGGCGACCACCGATCCCCCGACCGCACAGACACGCCAGCGCCCAGCCCAGTGGTTGGCAGCCGGCGGACTTCGCATGGCTCTGCCCACGGTCAGAAACCGTTGGCGGGTCACAGATCGAGCTACACGGGAGACGGCCATCCGAATCAATGTCACGGTGGTCCAAACCGAACCGATGGAGCACCGTCGGCCTCCGGCGACCGTGCCGGCGGACGGCAAGCCGTTACGCGTTCTCCGCTTGCTCCCCGTTTTAATTTTGACCGGTGTGGCCACAGGCCACGCAACGCAGGGGCTGGCAGGCGGCGTCGGTGCGCTCACTTGTCGGCTTTGCTTTGTTTTGTTTGCCGTGTCATGATGCTCTGCCACTACTGTAGTTAGCACCGGTCAGACTGCAAACACACGAGAAAATCCAACAGGAGGTGCACGAATTGGGTTTACACTTTACATGCCTGACGACATCTGTTCTGCAGTAGGTGACAAAGTAAGAGCTGCAGTTGATTCACACAATCACACAACACAACCACCCTGTTCGCTCGATCGCATCAGCCATGATACAGTATTTTTCTCTCACAACGCAAAATAGCATCAACCGGATTATAAGCCACAGAAACGATAAAGCGAACCGGGTGGAACTTGGATTGGATCAGGAACACCTCAGTTAAGCACTTGGCTTGTAACATTCACGCATTCACAGGAACAAGGAAATGTACAGTATCTGTCTGCCAACCAACACCCACGGTTTCTCGATGTGGGGGGCACAACTTGCGTGCACACGCAGTGGTAGTTCGGTACAGAGTGCAGGACGGCAAACGGTAATCTGAGATGGAACTCCCAGCAAGATCATCTGTGTCCATCTGGAGAGGGTACACCGGTCTTTCTTGTCCAATCTGAACATTCCACATTTCTACTGCAGGCTTGCAACAGCTCAGAGAAAAGTAGACAACCGACCACGTAGCAAACTCAGTCAGAGCAGAATCCCAGTCATCACTCGGTCTACATCAGCTGGTTCCCCACGGGGTCAACGGTGAAATGCAGGTGCAGAGATTTCTCCACGATCGGGTGGAACTTCGATGCCCACATCTGCAACTCACAGGCCAAACACACAAGTTATACTTATTATGGAGATGACAAAGACCAGTAGTCGCAAACTGTGCAATTAGTTATGGGATAGGGTGTAAACTTTCGGGAGAGGAACTAAACAAGGCCTTATTATGGAGATAACAAAGACTAGTAGTAGTCCTATGGAAGAGTGTGGATTCAGGCAATGGCTGTAGTTTGCTATCCTACTTCAGTTCAGAGTTGGAATCCAACCCTGCATGTGTGTGCACCATCATTCTGTATGTACCTATCTTGTATTTTTTTCTAGTTTTAATTTACTCGGGTAAGTGGAATGTGGTATGCAGGAAACTCAAGATATGAAATCCATTTGAGCAGAGTTCTTACATCCTTGTACTCCATGCTCTCCCTGAACAGCTTGAAGTCGTCAACTGCATGATATGACAAATTGAGTAAGCAACCGTACCTCTAACATGCTGCTAACTTATGCACAGAGATTCTGACTTATGCATAGCATGAGACAAAACTTATAGCCCACTAACATGATGGGAAACGGATTACTGCAGCATGATTGTATCCATTATCCGGATGATCCAAACAGCAGCCTATACAAAATAGAAGTATAACATTAGAAGCAGTTACTTGAGATTTTGGAAAAAAAGTATTGGTAAGAGAAAATGCACATGTTAATAACAATCTATGTGAAACAAGATAAACAGGTTATATGTCTTCAGCCATAGCAACGTGTACAGCAAATTCACAATCGCAGTGGCAATGTGACAGAAGAACCATAAGGATATCATGTTGTCTTACCACAGGTTGCCTGCACAATAAAAGAGCTGCATTGGCTGATCAACTTCTGAAGAGAAGCTAACGCATCCTCCGTTGCCTCTCTAGATGCAGTCTTAAAGAAAGATATCAGCAGCATAAACTCGACACCGTAGTTAAAATCCTGCCACAGGAACCAACTTTTCTTTTTTAGTGCAAAAATGGACAGTGGCACATTTTTTACATAGCTAAAAAATGGTATCAATTTACGCCAGGATAAGGTAGCTTGAGTTACCTCTCCCCTACGAAAGAGAGGTATAATGTCATCTTCCACCTCGGACTCGAAATCTACAGAAACCGAGCCCTGTAAGTTATCCAAACAGTGACTATCACGGTGCTATGACCATAGAGAATCAGTATGGTGTAAGAACCAGAAAGAAGATTACATGCTGAGGCGTACATAGGAAACAGGTTTTACGTGCTCATCAAGAACTTTCGAATAGTATGCACTGCTCTGGAACTTTGCAATGTCTTCTTTCTGCTGAAAACGCATGAAGACAGCGTGTGTGAAATTCTCGCTGTTGGGGTCCTCTATGCGGCCTGCATCCAATATATCACAAATACCAAATTGAAGTTTATACTTATTAACTGATTCTGCAGTTGAAGTGTATATAAGCCTAACCTAATGAGACTGCGAGAATCCCTCTCATCTGGTATTGTGATGTATATAGGTAGTCCAGCATATCTTTTTCTTCGGCATCTGAGATGTTTGGCTTGGCTCTAAGCAGAATAATGTGCTCCACAATCTTTCTGCAAAGTGTACTAGATCAGCTGTATACTACAGCTCTGCATAGTCCAGGGCATGAGGTGACAGTATGCAGAATTTACAACACTCATTGTAAATATGATAATTTCAGTGTCAATTTCTGTGCAACAATTTTACAGTTTTGAAGTGATTTGGTAATGCAGCACTTAGAAACCACTCACCTTTTCTTCATAAGGCCACCAGAATGTGCACCATTGCTGGATTCAAGCACACCACGAGTGGAAAGAATCATCTTCTTTCCAGTCCCCCACCATCTGCGACCTACACAAACTCAAGGGACTTCAGAATCTATATTCAACATGCATACACTTCAAAAAGAAGGACAAAGCTGAGATAGAGAACTCACATTGGTCCAAATTCTGCGCAGATAGTTGATGCAACCTAAAGCAGCTCCCAACAGGTCGTATGGTGTGAGGCACCTGGGCTGATGCTGGCACAGACATCCTGATGATTCAGAGCCTGGAAGCTTTAGCTCTCATTGTTGCCACACAGGTTTTTATGGTTTTGGGTGTTGTGGTATGGTGGTAACCGTGAGCAAAAGCAGGATCTTTTGGGTTGGGTGCACATAGTGCGGCAGGGCATCCTCTGTCCTCACCATCAGTGGGTGGTTGGAGCTAATAGCACTGTCCTTTTCACAGCTCCACAATTTCAGATATTTTTTTGCAACAAAGATACTAGATCTCTCATTGAGAAATACAAACTAGTATCAGAACTGCCAGTGCCACAGAACTGCACCAACACTTTGATCACAAAACAGTGCCACAGAATTGCACCAACATCAATTTGCATGATCACCAAAGGAGATTAAATTAAAAGTAGCCTAAATTAGAGTGACATAAGAATTACACCAGTCGACCTTCAAATTATTCACAAGTTTGATCACAACGAAAGATGCTACAATTCTAGAACCAAAACAATAAAGATTCTAGAAACTACAAACGTTGGATGGACTTGACGGACTCTAAGATCCTAACATACTGAAAGAACAATGAAGAATGTTCGCCCTCCAAACCATTTCTGTGGTGACGGTTGCTCCCAGCAAGATTGTTACAGGGACTTCCACCAATCACAAGATCAAAGCCGCCAATTCTTCTAATATATGTCTCGATCCTCTCAGATGTCAGTGTCTGCACATCATTGATCTCAATCAAAGTACCGGTCTGTGTCTGATCCCACCAACTCCTCAGAATCGTCCTATTGACCTCAGACTTCTCTACTGAAATAACTGTCTTCATGTGTATACCAAGCCTATGGAGAGCCACCTCTGCTCCTCCAATACCAGAGAATAAAGACAGTACATTCATGCCTTGTGGGTACATATCCTTGAGGACTGAGAGATGGTAAGCAACAGTATCAACTTGAAATGAATTTCCTAGAGATCGAAACCTCTCTGTCCTGCTGATACCTCTGGTGTGATCCTTCGGAAAGCCGAGTAGAAACTCCATCTCATCAGGCTCTAGAGGAGCAACCTTGTTTAAGCCAACCCAAGCGAGATTCCATTTCCTACACTCCTCCAACACCAACTTCTGAACTCTTGGAGGAGGTGGATCTGAACTGTTCGTAAGGGTTACACGAATCTTCTCTAACAGTTTTGCACTAGACACACAAGTCTGGAGGCAATTGAACTGTTGTCTTGGGTCCCATGATGGCCACCACCTCTTGGTACGAGGAAATGCTGCGGATATTGTCCTTGGAGGTTTAGGGAGGAGAGGTGACCTGTTATCAAGTGGCAAATTGTGTATATAACCTCTTTTCCTGGCAGCAGCACAAAAGTACTTCGAGTCCACAAACTCCGGCTGAATATCATACAAGAATCTTGATATGATAGTCCAGACACCTTTTGGAGCAAGAGCAACATTCTCGTAGTAGAAGTATGGTGGACCCATAGCTTGTGAAGGTAGATCTCTGTTCACGGGTCTTGGCCACTGATCTGGCAAGCTAAATCCAACCATTGGATTTGGGAGTGGCATGGGTTCATCAGCGCTACCATCTAATGGGCCTCTACTTCCCTGTGCTTGACCTCCATATCTCTTTCTCTTTTTTTTGTTCCCATCCATGAACCTTCCCTTGTTTATCCCTCCATAGGAATTATCCTGCAGTATTGCAAACACAGTTCCATTATCAAACCATTAAATTAGAACTAAATCTTATTGCAAACTTGTATGGACAGTTCACCTAAGACGAACCTCATAGTCAGACAAATTGCCACAGTAACCATCTCCTGCGGTCTGTGAAGCATATATTGAATCCACCAGAACAGAAATAGATGCATCCAGCCCTGAGTAATTTTAAACCACAGACGACAGTGCATGATCAGTGAACAGGGGCATTTGGAGCATACTTTGACAAGTTCGAATAATAAAACTCTGAAGATAAGTTAAAATAAAACAGGGACAAGGACAGAATCTGAGTGGTACAAGTTGCATGAAAATGCAAAAACAGTTTTATTTGACAGCAAGAATCAACCATTCCAAGTTATCTCAGTTCAAGATTGCAGCCAATTTACGAGTTCCAACATACAGTATTTGAGGAAAATTCTCAAAATCCAGAGATAAACCAATAGAAAGTTTGACATAAAACTAAAAATGGCAATGTTATTATTCAACTGTTTTATTCTATATAGAGCATATCCTACTTTCAAGGTTGGAAATTGATGTTTATTTTGCTCAGGAATCTAAAGGCAAACAGAGGAGCATGGAACAAAGGTTCAGAGAGCACACCGCATCTAGTAATAGCCAGTGCAGCCTCGTCTTCAGGAAACCCCATTTTAACTAAGGAATCAATTTTGTCGTCCTTATGTGACATCTCATGTAAGAAATCCTGTGAAGAAAGCACAGAAAAGCACTGAGAATACAGTTGACAAGCTACATAAACTAGCATTGCAATTACCTTCTCCAAAGGACAAAAACAACAATTCTTGTAATGTGTTAAAAAATGGGAAGTATCATAACTATGGACAAGTTAGGAAAACAATTAGCTTTTTAACTGAGAAAAACAAATGTAATGTGTAAAAAATGATCGATTTGCACAAGTATCAAAAAAGGAAATAGATTATAATTTATAACCCATAACTGAAGGGTTTTTTTTCGTGAATTAAAACAGTAGGAGAGAGTGGTATTACAGGGAGGAGGGGGTACAACAAACTTAAGTACAAAGAAATGAATGTCAGATACAAAATAAGAAATTCATCATTAACAACCCACCCACAATTTTGCAATTTCATTTGTTAGTCCATGGTGGCGTCTTCTTCAAGAATGTCACTAACACGAGAGTTCTAATCATACGCATAAGAGGAAATGCAATAGTTCCAAGTTTATGATTGACACAACTTTCTTGCTTACCGTCTTACCGATACGATTTTCTTACAAAATTAAGGATTTTGGTTTCATGGGAACATGCTGTTTTGCCTAAAAGAACCCAGTTGTCCCAAAATATAAGGGAAAAAACAAAGTAGATTGGCCTTCTAGCACAGCTATGTAGCTAACAGCTGTTTGAAAACCAAAGGAACAGGTGCAAGTAAAAGCAAGGAACCTTATGGTTTTTTGATAAGTAATCTACTTACTGGATTAACATTAAACAAGTTTAATGCAGAAGTATATATGATTGAAGCAAACTAAATACATAGCAGGTTTCACAAAAGAATAAAGTAAACGCATACAGTCAACAATGGGGCGCATCAAAATACCTCGTCTCCAGAATCATCACCAGAGTTAGCAACCCTGGTGCTTCTCCCACCAGCATCCTCATCATCCCAGTTTCCTAGAATGTCATCATCATCACTATCGTCAACAGTTTGGGGGACACAACCAGAAGCAAAGCCGTTATCCACTTTGAGGTCATTGCCTAGTTCCTGCATTTGGCATCACTTTGTAAATACAAATCCTCTTTGACACCATGCAACAACATCATCAAAGAATAACTAATAGAAGCATGAACACAAATGAATACCTGGTAAGTAAGAAGAAGCTCAACTAATGAATCTGCTCCATTATCCCCTGAAAGAAAAGGCAGCTGTCAGATAGAGTATATAAAATCACCTAGAATCTAGGTAAATGAGAAGAAATGGGTTATTAGCTAAGTACCATTGTCCTTCATGGCCTTCAGAACAATCTCTTTTGTGAAACCCATGTCCATATACTTCTGAACCAAATAGGCAGATGGCCCAGTCTTCCCATTGCCATTAGCAACCTTAAAATCAGCCCCACAAACAAACAGAAACATTACAATCGTAGCCACTAGAAACAAGGTAACAGTAACATTGAGAGTGTTTGTGTCGCTATACACTAATCATGATACTGATTCTGTTCATGATTACCATATATATCCACCCCCCACACCGGCCAGTTTGGCACAAGTGGTTTGAACACCCCTGAGTAACATGAACTGAAGAACAACTAGCTACTGAGTTCACACATTACTGCATATATATGGATCAGTTAGCTGGCTTACCCGTGTCGATGGACCTGGATCATCAGTGTTCGCATCTGACAGAGCTGACGGACCAGCGCCAGCAGCGTTAAAGCTCGCTGCCTCCTCCCCATTGCCATCACTATCCCATTCGAAGCTGTCACTGCCATCATTGTCGCTAACCCAGTGCTGTGACACGAATTAAGAACTAAACATCAGGCACATCGACCAACAATAGGACCAAACCGCCACCAATCCCGAAAAAAGCATCCAAAATTTTTTTCGCGATCGGGTTAGACCCGAAAAAGCATCCAAAATGCAAGCTCTAGCTCAATCCAGTGTTAAGAAAACACCAACATTGAGCAGCCGAAAGGAACAAGACCGAATATATGAACTACCGCACCGCAATAACCTCGCGACATCACAGACCCCAATCTAACGCGCGGAACCACCGTAGCAGCGGACCAGATTATTAGCATCAAGAATTCATGGCGCGAGAGATCATCTCTTCACAATACATGGAAGGGGACAGAGCAGAGGAAAGCAGGTGACAGAAAGGAAAGTCTTACCGCCATTCCGGAACCTTCGCGAAGGGGCTCCGAGGGCTACCTCTCCCTCGATCTCTCTCGTTTTCCTCGGCCCCGGCGCGGCCAGAAGCTGCGGTGGCGAAGGACCCGGAGGCACCGGACGGCGTGGCCCGGCACAGCCTCTCTCCGCCCCCCCTCCGACTACCTTTGCCGCCTCTCCCCTCCCGTCGCCGTCGGCCCTGCGCGCTAGGAGTTGGGAAGCGGTGGCAGAGGAGGAGGAGAAGGAGGCCGCGCCGGCGACAGGCGGCTCTGCCTGCCTCCGGCGTCTCTGCTTTGCCCGCTTTATTAGACGAAGTGGGGGGGAGACGGCGAATCTCCAAGTCTCAACAAGAAACTCACGCGCCGCGCCCGCCAAACAGCACGAGCAATGGGCACATCGATGGTCGTACGCCACTGGCATGTGGGGACCGCCTCATGCGACCAGGGCTGTCAGCGAGAGAGTGCAGCAT